GCTGTAAACCAAGTCATGTTTTTAATTTTTTTTTTTTTTTTTTTTTGTTTCCTTTAAATTCATGTACAGTGTTTGTTCTGTACTATCTCGAAAAATGGCCAATGCTATGGCCTTATTTTCGAGGCTACTTTTGCTAACTAAAGAGGGAGCTTCAATTCGAGATGGGCTTCTTCTCAAGATAAAGCCCATTGAGCTTCTATTTGAGGTTTTACTTTATACCAAAAAGATACACTAAATTTTTAGTTTATTATGGTATATCATTGTATTGAACCTGCAGAGATTTGTTTCCTATTCCCAGTATACACTGTTAGTGTTTTTCCATTATTTATTAGTGTTCATTACTATTGCTATTCTTTTATGTACAGTAATTTAATTTCTTTTGCAGGCTGTAGAGAAGCTAGTTGCAGCAGCAGAGTCTGGTTGTTCATCTCCTAACGATCAGCACATCGTTCTTAATTGTGTCCGACTTCTCACCAGAATATTACCGTACATCTTTGAGGATCCAGACTGGAGAGGGTTCTTCTGGTCAACATTACCTGGTCAATCAGTAAGTTTTTCAAAAAAGAGTCATGCAATAGTAGCTAAAATGATGCCTTCCACTCAACTCTTTGTAATGAGTTAATGGATGTTCGTGCCATGGCTCGACTCTTCCATTTTATTTTTGAGGGGCATTCCCACTTATTAGAAAATACAGTAGGCAGTTGTTATATCCAGTTTAGAGTCTTACTCATAATGCTAGTGCCTTGGGCCCAAATTCCGATTTTAAGTATGTATACTTTGAATTTTACCCCTAGAATTTTGTTTAATTATTGCAAATAAAATGCAGTTATGTATTTACATAAACTGTAAGGGGGTGGGCGGTATCAAAACTATTCAAAGGTGTTACAGTAGCTGCGTTAACTCCTGTCTCTTATACACATCTAGATGTGTATAAGAGACAGATGGTGTACCAAAAGTTTGAGGATTTTGTCATTGATTATCGCCATGTAAACCTTCAAAAAATAAAACTTTTATTTGAAAAAACTGGTGTTAGCCACTGTGTGTTCCCTGAATCGAAGAGATCTTTAAAATAGCATCATAGTCCCCATTTCAATTCCATTTGCACATTCTCCTTGTTAGATGTTTAACCATAGGTGTGTGTACAGTACAATAATCATTCCATTAATAAATATACTGTATGAAAAGGATTATGATAAAACATCATAATTTAATTGAAACACTGTGATCGATCCAGGATCCAGGAATTCGAAGGGGGGGGGGGGGGGGGGGCAGGGAGGGACTTACCAATGGAGAGTGCAGACCATCTCAACCCATCATGGTTGGGGCTGTGGTAGGAAAATTTATGATTATGGCACCTCTAGATGGAATTGGCACTCTCAGAACTAAATTTACTTATAAATTTTCTTTATGCTCCATTTTATTTGTAATTTTGAAAAATTTATGGGTCGGGAGTGAGGAGGGAATCGTACCCCCACTCCCTTACCCAAATTCGCCACTGGTATTTTTGTCTGTTGAAATATAATATCAGTTCATTACAACTGGTAAGGTTAGACCAAAACATACTTATCTAAAAGGTTTTAATTGGGTAATAATTATTAATTTGATATTGCTATGTGATACTGTATATTGATTTCTATGTGTCAATGTACAAAGATTTCCATCTATGCTTGAATAATATTTTGAGATCATTTGAAATTATTCAATTTCAATTAAATCTTTATTGGTCCAATGTTTTAATACATCAGGCAATCTTTGTTTATACACTGCAATATAATAACTGCAAATCATGAAATTACAAGCTGGAAATTAACACAATCACTACTCATATAGCACTTATAATATAATACTGTCAACATTATATGCTGATAAAAAAGTCTATATTAGGACAAAATTACATAAGTTTGCCCCCCCCCCCCCCCCTACATAAGTTTGCCCCCTCCCCCCCCCCAATTTATATAAGATCATTCATTGTGTATAATGAATACCACTGAATGAAATGCCTTCTGTACATCACATGGCAAATTAGAGGTAAGTTGCTGGATCTGATTTGCGGTTGGAAACATGGGAATTGCCGATATAAACAATCACCATGAAACCTCAAACTAAAGCCCTGCGCTTCTTCTTTTTTTTTGCGATCTTTTCAAAATGCCCTCTTTTCAAAATGAATGCTGTAAATTTTTGGAATTACTACTATAAAACAATAAATAGGGCCACTTTAACATCAATCTGTGTCATGCAGTTTATTAACTGGCATTAAATCACCTAAACTGCTGTAAACCAAGTCATGTTTTTAATTTTTTTTTTTTTTTTTTTTTGGTTTCCTTGAAATTCATGTACAGTGTATGTACTGTACTATCTCGAAAAATGGCCAATGCTATGGCCTTATTTTCGAGGCTACTTTTGCTAACTAAAGAGGGAGCTTCAATTCGAGATGGGCTTCTTCTCAAGATAAAGCCCATTGAGCTTCTATTTGAGGTTTTACTTTATACCAAAAAGATACACTAAATTTTTAGTTTATTATGGTATATCATTGTATTGAACCTGCAGAGATTTGTTTCCTATTCCCAGTATACACTGTTAGTGTTTTTCCATTATTTATTAGTGTTCATTACTATTGCTATTCTTTTATGTACAGTAATTTAATTTCTTTTGCAGGCTGTAGAGAAGCTAGTTGCAGCAGCAGAGTCTGGTTGTTCATCTCCTAACGATCAGCACATCGTTCTTAATTGTGTCCGACTTCTCACCAGAATATTACCGTACATTTTTGAGGATCCTGACTGGAGAGGGTTCTTCTGGTCAACATTACCTGGTCAATCAGTAAGTTTTTCAAAAACGAGTCATGCAATAGTAGCTAAAATGATGCCTTCCACTCAACTCTTTGTAATGAGTTAATGGATGTTCGTGCCATGGCTCGACTCTTCCATTTTATTTTTGAGGGGCATTCCCACTTATTAGAAAATACAGTAGGCAGTTGTTATATCCAGTTTAGAGTCTTACTCATAATGCTAGTGCCTTGGGCCCAAATTCCGATTTTAAGTATGTATACTTTGAATTTTACCCCTAGAATTTTGTTTAATTATTGCAAATAAAATGCAGTTATGTAATTATATAAACTGTAAGGGGGTGGGCGGTATCAACACTATTCAAAGGTGTTAGCTGTGTTATTTCAATGCTAGTGCCTTGGGCCCAAATTCTGATTTTAAGCTTGTATACTTTGAATTTTACCCCTAGAATTTTGTTTAATTATTGCAAATAAAATGCAGTTATGTATTTACATAAACTGTAAGGGGGTGGGCGGTATCAAAACTATTCAAAGGTGTTACAGTAGCTGCGTTAACTCAATGCTAGTGCCTTGGGCCCAAATTCTGATTTTAAATTTGTATACTTATGAATTTTTTCCCCTTGAATTTTGCTTAATTATTGCAAATAAAATTCAGTTATATAATTATATAAACTGTGAGGGAGTGGGCGGTATCAATACTATTCAAAGGTGTTAGCTTCATTAGTTCAGTAGCTGTATTACTAGTGTAAAGCTCACATCAATTATTTTCTTGTCTTTTTCTGTTTGTTTTTTGACAGAGTGATGAGGAAACGCAACCATTAGCACAGTCATTGCTTAACTCTGTGTCAGACCTTTTGTTTTGTCCGGACTTCACCGTGTCCCCTCACAAGAAACCAGGACCAGTAAGCGCATGATCGGTTTTTGTTTACTAAACAATTTTTTCTTACCAAAACATGTTTGTAGTGAAATAAAATAAAATAAATATATGAATAATTGAGGAGCACTTCTTTAAAGTAAGATCTCTCTCATGGTCATACCTGGCAATGTCAACTGATGCAAATCAGTCAATGACGACCATATGTTTTCTATGAAAGAAAACGGCTAGGAAGACAAGTAACAAGTAAGTATGTATGTATATCTTTTCACTTGTTTTTAGCACATAGTGACCCTAGTATTTTATGTGGTATATTACATAACCTTTAACCTTTATTTTGCTTAGGACAACCATGAAGATCTACAGTCAATTGATAGCTGTGAATACATTTGGGAGGCTGGTGTAGGATTTGCTAACACACCCCCACGCTATGCCCAGTATGATCTGATTCGCTGTGAACTTCTTAAGCTTCTACTTACCTGCTTCTCAGAAACCATGTATCTTCCACCTATCAGTAAGTACAGTACAAGAGAATTTGATCTTTGAACTTTCTTTTAATCTGTAAATAGATTAGGTAAAATGCTTGACAAATTTTTAAAATTCTTTGACTCATTAATTAGAGTGGTCTTCATATTTCTGTTATTTCTTCGCAGGTGATGCGCATAACCAGCCTAATCTATGGATATCTTACTTCTGTTCTGCTGAAAATCGCCATGCACTTCCCCTCTTTACATCATTACTGAACGTAGTATGCGCCTATGATCCAATCGGGTACGGGGTACCTTACAACCATCTCATGTTTGCCGACTACCGAGAACCATTGGTGGAAGTGGCGTCTCAGGTTCTGTGTGTCACATTGGACCATGAAGGGCCGCCAGCTTCACCGGTGTCGGTAGATGGAACCGGTACCGGAGCTACCGTAGAAGGGTCCCATGAGGTATGGTCTTTCTTAATTTTCTAATATTTTAATTCAAATCAATTTTTTTTAATGAAATAAAAGCTCATTTTTATATGGTTTTGTTCATATTGCAAATTATTTAAAATAGTTTTGTAATTTACAAGTGAAAAGAAATTAATGTAATAAGATATAAAAACCTACAGTACAACTGATAAAAATGATGCCTCTTCATTTTCACTGATATCATATACTATCAGTTTTTATTTGTCAAACTCAGCGGACATGGAAAAACACATGACTTGTTTGATAGATAAGATTATAGTTACGAAGGGTGAGGTTTATGGATTAAAATTGGAAAATGTGTAAACAATGTCACCACTGTTAAATTATATTACATATTTTTGTCCTTATAGAGTGGTCCAGACAACCTTTTTGTGAATTACTTATCAAGAATACATAGGGAAGAAGATTTTTGTTTCATTTTACACGGTTTAACAAGACTTCTGAACAATCCACTAATACAGGTACGCACGTGTATTTTTAGCTTTCTCCTTATAATATGACCTTTGATTGACCTATAGTATTAAAGGGCATACAATTTGGGATGCCCATATGCTCAGCTTCTTAAAAATTGCCTTAAAAACTACTAATTACTTTTTTATGAAATGGGCTAATAAATTATGCATTTGATGATGATTTCAAGAGAAGCATTACTGTAATGAATTATTTTTTGTTTTATGTGGAAATTTTCCCAGCTATAATTTAAATTGGCCTGCCTGTCATCAATGTTGGAATTAGAGTGCGCCCTGACTAATTATCATATAAATACTGCGTACATAGATAATCGTCCTTTTGGCTAAATATATACCGGCTATTTGTTTCAGACTTATTTACCTGGCTCCACAAAGAAGGTTGCATTCCATCAAGAGTTACTGGTTCTTTTCTGGAAGATGTGTGACCACAACAAGAAGTTCCTCTTCTATGTTCTCAAGAGTAGTGATGTACTGGATGTTCTTGTGCCAATCCTCTACCATTTGAATGACGCCAGAGCTGACCAGTGTAAGTTGTACACTAGAAACGAGTCGCATCACAGTTACATAACAACTTGCTTTATAATTCTATGATGAGGAATAATCACATGTAAAATATGCACTTCAAAATAATTAATCTTCATAATCTTTTTTTTTCCTTGCAGCAAGAGTTGGACTGATACACATCGGTGTGTTTATTTTACTGCTGCTGAGCGGTGAGCGGAATTTTGGCGTTCGTTTAAACAAGCCGTATAGTGTGCGAGTTCCTATGGACATTCCGGTATTTACTGGCACTCACGCAGATTTTCTTATTATTGTAAGTGTATTAAAACATTCCAGGTTATGAAAGTATTGAATTGAAAGAAACTCCAAAGAATATGATGCCAGACTGAAATACCATTAAATTCAATCATTTGGTCAATAATAGAAATAATGATTTTTGTTAATGATATTAAAATTTACAATGATAATGATAGTATTTTTAATCATTTATATTAAATGATTCATTATTTTAGCTACGCATTTAACTGAATTTAAAAAAATATTTGAACTCTAATACATTACATATTTTCTCTGATAATAATATAGAATTGTAATATATATTTTGAGTATTACTGTTCAGTATTTTCAATAATTTTAATACAATTTTTTGTAGGTATTTCATAAAATTATCACATCTGGTCATCCAAGATTACAACCTCTATTTGACTGCCTACTTACAATCATTGTCAATGGTGAGTAATGGAGGAATCTTATGTTAGAGTTGTTGGCGAAGTAATTACATTTCACAGGGTTTTAGCTGTAGAAAACTAAGTGTGGGTGATGATAAAATGAGTAAACTCATAATAATAAAGAGTGGATTATAAGGATGGGCAAGGAGGTTAATAAAGGTGGGTGGAGGGCCATGAAATTAGCTTTAGGCTAGGTGGAAAACTTGCAAGACTTGGTGGTCCTGCCCACCTTAAATACGTTCCTGGGTTAAGGCTTTCGACTAAATCTCTCGTGCCATTTTGCCTTGGAAGCGAGGCACTTTATTAACATACTGCACACAGGAGTATAAATAGGTGCTTGGTAGGATCTAGCTGGTTATGGCATGGAGCATCCACAGCAACTGAGAGTGTGTGTGCCATAAGTGTTTGATCCAATGATCGTGAGGGGGGGGGGGGTAATAATTTCCAAGCGCATAGTCGTCTTATCGTGTCCAAACACTTGCAGGATACTTTGTTTCATCTAGAGTTTCTAGCACAATAATTGTACTCATCAGATGGCATGATATATGTGCAATAAAAATATTAGTCAAAATGTGTCTTCATACTACTATAATACAAGTGTCAAAAATAATTTTTTGAGTGAGTGACTGATTGATTGATTGATTGATTGATTGATTGATTGATTTCATTGTGTCTTTCCTCAGTGTCACCGTACCTTAAGAGCCTGTCAATGGTGTCGGCAAACAAGCTTCTCCATCTTTTGGAAGCATTTTCAACGCCGTGGTTCTTGTTCTCTAATCCAGCAAATCACCATCTGGTCTTCTTTCTCTTGGAAGTGTTTAACAATATAATTCAATACCAGTTTGATGGTAAACAAATTTTACATGTCATTAAATACTACTTGATTGAATTCAAACCATAAGACTGAAAACTTACTTATTTCTTATCATATTTTATATTTAATATAATATTTAATGTTCATAAAAAAGATACTATAATCATAAGCATATTATAAAGCATTTTGCAAAGCAAATCTATAATTAAGCATGTCGTTAGTTGATCTTTTGTGTTAATATAATTTTTATATTTTGTTCAGAAACAGACCAATCACTCCTGTCTGTGTTGATTCTCGACCATAGTAAACGTTTGCTTTTTGTTATCTATTTTTTATTATTGTTATTTTCATCAATTATGGTCAATAAATGTTTCTTTAAATGGAAAAAAAAATGAATTGAATGGTAAATCTCAATTAATTTCTAAGTAATATTTAAATCAAACATTGTTTTGTTGTTATTTACTTAATATTAATCATAAAATTTCCTTTGTTATTGTGACTTTAAAATGATGTGAAAATACATCGCACTCTATTTCCTTGATAATCAGCAAGATGCTTGTGGGAACTTATAATGATGAAGAGATGAAGAGGCCCCTGCTGAATCTGCCAGCTATGGCATCTGCAGAGGGAGATTAATCACTGTAAATGAATCAGTCTATATAAACAAATAAGCATTGAAAAGCAGTAGTTGTGGCTATAATAAGACCATGATGAGAGTATAATGGTAGAGCATTTTACTTATTATATTTTATTTATATTTGTTTATGAAACTAAAAGAATAATTTATTTACCATTGATACATTTTTCTTTTCAGGAAATTCAAATTTAGTGTACACAATTATCAGGAAAAGGAATGTGTTCCACCAACTCGCTAATCTACCCACGGACCAAGTGTCCATCAGCAAAGCTCTAGTGAAGCGAGGGCGTAAAATGCAACACACACCATCCACGGAGCAAGAACCACAGACAATGGAGGGCGCTATTCCCCCTATTGATGCAGAACCAGGGACATTAAAGGCTTCTCTTGCAGCAACCCCAGGTATGTATGTAGTTTTGTAGTATGTATATATCTCAACTATTACTGAGTATGATAAATAGTAATTGAAATGATTATGAGCTTGCATTACAAGACTTGTTTCAACAAACTCAATGATATTTTAGAAAGATTAAATTATATTTTCTCTCATCTCATTCTCACAGTTTTTCTTTCTTTTAATTTGTCAATAAAATTTTCTCATCTGTCTAGATTCTTTTAGCAAACTTATCAAACATTTTGCTTATTATTATACATTGTTTTCAATAAAAATCAATCAGAAATAATGTTTGTGCATATACCTGAGGAAGGACAATTAACAATAATAATGTATACTTGTATTGTTAATAATGTATACTTGTATTGTTTATAATGTTGTTGTAAATGGTGCTCTATCTTGTCTTAGGTGTTGAGTCAATGACAGAAAAATCCAAGTTAGCAGCCCCAGGACAGCCAATGGTGGCAGCGGGCAATGCTCAGAGTATCCAGCCTACATCCAGCCAGCAGGCCTCTCTTGCCTCTCAGGTACAGCTGATTCCATTTCTAATAAATATATGTAAAGTATTAGAGTAAAATTTGTTTGTTCTCATATCAGTTGACAGCTAATCATTTCATAAATAACTGAGAGAAACTGGCGATTGGAGCGCTCATGTCGCCTCAAATCGCGCAACTAAGATTTGCTGTTTAGTTGCCAAAGGTTGATGCCATTTGAGTTGAGTCGAGTTGCAAGGGTGGCATAAGCTTAGATTTAGATGAAAGAACCCCTAATGCTTGATTCTAAAATTGTAATTGTCAAAAATTATAATAATATTGTTATTAAATCCATAGGCTGCTCCAGTAAGTGATACAGAAAGTTCAGTGGCTGATGATAGCAAAACGTCTCCTTTAAAAGGAGGCTCAACAGTAGCTGCAACCTTAGCGTCTATGAGCCTAGATGAAGGTCACCCCAGAAGGGCGCCCTCGGTTACAAGTACAACAAGTGGTACAACGCAGGGAGATTGGAAACCTTCAACAGATTGGGTAGGATTGGTTTTTTATTTCATTATTAATTGCAAGTAAAACAGAATTGCAAGTAAAAAATGTAAACTGTTTTTCGCTGCCCACGTGACACACAATGCTCGCACAATGGCTGGGCCAGTACACAAAATGAATTAATCATATTTTCTGTCTCTTTGTAGGTACAAACATGGAAACAGAAACTGCCTCTTCAGACCATAATGAGATTACTTCAAGTTCTTGTCCCTCAAGTTGAGAAAATCTGCATCGATAAGTAAGATCTTAAAAATTTTATTTTTATATATATTATATTAAATTATCTACTAGACCTGATGATGCCTGCATTGATTACAACAGATAGTAGGAATTGCAGATACTTATTTTCATGCACACTTATTATCTAAGCCAACCTGTACCAATTTTGGACAACTTTTACCCAATTAGGACAATTCATTATTTTGCTTGTTACAATATACTGTATATAAATCAAATCAACAAAGTTCGACACTGTCTCTGACTCTTTCTAATGTAATTTGATTATTTTTCTACAGGGGATTGACAGATGAAAGTGAAATCTTGAAATTTCTTCAGCATGGTACATTAGTTGGTTTACTTCCAGTGCCGCATCCCATACTTATTCGTAAATATCAGGCCAACAGCGGAACGCAGATGTGGTTCAGGACTTACATGTGGGGCATCATATACTTGAGGTTAGTATCAAAATGCAACATATTTTGTAAATTCAAACAGCAGACAAAGTGCAACAAGGCTTCATAAGCATAGTCTAGAAGTTGGGGAAGGGTTGGTGGGGTATGGGAAATCATGTACTTATGCCAAGATTTTCTTTACTCCTTACATGATATAAAAAAACATACATTTTAACGATAAGTAATAAGTAGAAGTGGTTTGGCGCAGTCGGAACGGTTGGATTCCCAACCTCAAGGTCGGGGTTTCAATCCCCGCACTGTGCATTTCACTTGTGTTGCTGGGCAAGGCACTTTATCTGCATTGCTTCTCTCCATCCAGGAGTATAAATAGGTACCTGGTAGGGTTAAATGCCAAAATGCACTGATGTAGCTGCTGCAACTTTATGTAATACTTCTTCAGGGAGCTTGAGTTTGTGTTCCATAGGCTTTTAATCCAATGACCGTGGGTAGTAATGTGAAACGCTTAGAGGCCTTGTTGGCGTTAAGCGCTATATAAATCAATTAACGTTTTTCACAGTTTATCATATGTGTGTTTTACAAAGATGTTTCCTCAGTCTTCTGTACAGTGGTAAGAATATACAGAAAGGGAGACACCTAAACTGCGCAAACACTATCAGAAAATGTTTTTTTAGACTTTGTCCATACTATTAGGTTTTTTGTGATAATTATATAGGATTTGCCCATATATGATGTCATGTCACATCCATATATGGACAAGTCACAGATATTTATTATATAAAATTGAGTGTGTTGACAGACTTCCAGACTTAGCAGAAATTGTTTGATCAAATATATATCTGAAAATGATTCAGCTTCAGAGATATCTGATCAAATTAATTTTCTGCTGGAAAATGATCTATTTCAAATGACATGTCAAATTTAACAGAAGTCTAACCTTGCTCCTAAGAACACACAAGAACATAAAACAACTATAATACTCAAACAAGCATTAGATTTTTTATAAATGGCCTTTGTGCTCTTATAGGTCAATTATAATTTACAATTTAAGGACATAAGGTCAATAGTTATCATAATTTACCTTAAAGTGCATTATTGACCTTTATGCACTTAAAAATAAAGACTAAATAACGACCCCCCATTAGTATTAGCATCAATGTATTTTTTAAAATCAGACAGCGACGTTAGTCTAACCTTGCTCCAAAGAACACACAAGAACATAAAACAACTATAATACTCAAACAAGCATTAGATTTTTTATAAATGGCCTTTGTGCTCTTATAGGTCAAATATAATTTACATTTTAAGGACAAAAGGTCAATAGTTATAATTTACCTTAAAGTGCATTATTGACCTTTATGCACTTAAAAATAAAGACTAAATGTATAACATAGGTTGAGAAAAATATTACTTACTCTAATTACAATACTAATACTACTGTACTAATTAAAACTAAAATAATAAAGATTTAATGGATAGCAGTGCAGTAAAATTGCTATAGTGTGTTATTCATGGTGTAATCCTAACATCTAATGTCTGAGTATCCAATCGTCTCTTTTCTAGGAACGTGGATCCGCCAATTTGGTATGACACTGGCGTGAAGCTCTTCGAAGTACAAAGAGTCAAAGATATTAGCTAAAGCAAGATGTATTTTATTGTTTCTAATTAAATCGATTCATTTTTTTATGGACAGCATTAAAATGGTTTTTCTCTATCAATTTTTTAATGTTTGCACAAACAATGTGTAAATATGTGGTGAACAGCAGGTGTAAATCATGAGTTTCGATTGAAGGAGTCTGTTGTAAGGTTGAAAAAACTTGAATTGTCTCTGAAGATCCAAAATTGTCCAAAAATATCACCAACATTTCTTTTTACAATATGGTGGTGAAATTTTTGCTGCTTTTAATAACAATTTTGTTTTTAAATATTTAATTTCTTGGTATTCTCAAACTTTTTTGATTTAATGCCGGATAGAATGTCCGGTACAATGCTATTCAAGTTTATGATATGAATTGCAATTTTTTTATGACAATTTTTTTTTTTATGGATTGAATATTTGATATTAAAAGATTGTAAATGATTTTTTATTAAAATAAAATCTGGCTAGATGGATTATGTAATATATATGTCAAATGTATGCTCAAATGATGTGTTGAATTTAGTTTTTTTTTTCTCATCTTTTGTATTCGTATCTTGCTTAATGACGTTAAGGAACCTGGAGCCCCCGATCTGGTTTGATACGGACGTGAAACTTTTTGAAATTCAACGGGTGTAAAGGTTTTTTCTTGTTTTCATGCATGGTTAAACATCCTTCATTTTTACTACTAGATTTTAAAAGTAGTGACAATATTTCACCCACATTTCATCTATTAATCTGTGTTATATTCTTAGTAGTTACCCCATGTTTACCCGAGCAATACTTTCCCTGTTAAAATTACTTGCATATTCCACAAACTGTAGAAATTTAGTGCATTTTTTATTTGATCCCTCTAAATTTTAGTTAAATTAGTTAAATAATGTTGTAATATGGAACCAATTTTGTCAACTGAAATGCATGTATTGCGTAAAAATATAAGTGCAATATCTCATAATTAAGAGGTTTGTCACAAGTTGTACATTCTCCATCTATTTTAAATTAAATGTTATTCATTCTATCAATAGTTTTAAGTAAGATAATCTCGGAAAATAATTTTTAAAATTAGAATAACACTATTAAAACCATGGATTCTGTTCATATTTAACAAGTAAATCATACAATTCTATTTTGCTTGGTTATCCAATAATTAATTCACACAAAGTTATGAAGCAATTGAATTTAATTGTTTATAATAATTATCAAGTATTTAGTTATTGATTTTGTATATGTATATGTTGCATTAACTAAAAATACCTTTATTTATTATTTGTTATTATGTACCAATTTTATTTGATATCTATTTGTGTGAAATGTGAAGTAGTCTTGCATGTTCGTTACCTGGAGTCTATTTTGTATATACTTAAATAAACCCCTCAAAAATTATAGAACCATTCCAAGGGCACTGTATACTATGATATTAAACTATTACATATTAAATCACCACATATACAATCTCATTCTCTTTTCGCTATGTTAGCAAAAATGAAACCTGTTGACAGATCCGAGGGCTTCAGTGCATGTAAGACAGGTGGACAAATTTTGGTATCACCTGTCACTCCATACTACCTTCGTGGGCCATAAATTTCCTTTAGTGCCCCCCTCCATCTATGAGCTAATTTTCCCTAGTATCTGCTCTCGCCCTCTCTCTGTCTGCCCCATATTTGCATGTTTTCAGTGTTCATCAGTGAGTAATTGTATACAGCAATTGTTAGCCTTGTGTGTAAAGTTCCATTTCATAAAAATCCTTGCTGTCTTCTATCACTAAAGTATTTTGTAATAGTATTCAGTGAATTACCAACACAAGTCTACAGTAAGAATTACAGATATAGGTATTAAAACATGTAGATTGTGAATGTATTTATTGTTTATGGAGTGCAATCTAATGGATGCGCTTCATGAGTAAAATAAAAGTTATTTATTCATTAATAATAAATATGAATAATTTCTTGGTTAAATCACAGTATCTTGATCATTTTTATTGTGATTGGAGAATGTTATTTTAATTATATATTATTTCTTTTATATTCTTACTGCTGTTTTTTTAACTAGTGTTCTGGTTTCTCCAATATATATTTTTTCACATACTGTATTTAGTTATAATTAACATTACAATCATGAACTTGAGGGACCAAATAATTATTGTTTACTTTTGTCATACATTACGGGGTTTTTAACACAAAATACAGACTTCAGGATTTGTTTATTCTAGCCGTTTTTTGCTATCCATTAGGCATTAATAATTTAATGATTATTAACGACATTGATGCCTAACATAATCCAGTTTTTTTTTGATAGATAATAATTAACTACATTAACTTTATTCATTTTTAAATAAAATGATGATGTAACATTATTCTTGCTGCTCAATGCTGTGTATATGATAAGTTGGATTGTTAGAACAAGATTTTTTTTATACCTTGTTTCGCAATGTGTCATACCAGGAATGTAATTCATTATTAGCAAAGAACTTAAATAGCAGAAGAATGAGCTGTTCCGCGTATTTGCATTAAAATTGATGGAACATTGGCCCTCCCGTGAGCGGGGTAAAATTTGACCATTTGACTGAGTGGAGAAACTACATGAAACAAACGAACCAGCATCTTTACTACTGAATTGATGTATAGCGCCACCGTGCGGATGGGGTAAAATTGCTCTCCGTGTACCCACAATGCATTTCGAACGGATGTTCCACTATATTGGGAAGCTGCTCTATTCTGCTATATTTATTGTCTTTGCCATTAGGCACTACATGTGTCTGAGACATGCCAAAAAACCTATCACATCTCATGATCAGTATTGATTTATCATGTGGCTAGTATTGACATATCTTGTCACTGAACACTTAAATTGTTGCATTATGAATAATTTTATTTTTAGTATTAATGGAGTAAATTGCATGGCTAAATTGGACATACTTCTATATTTTTAACAGACCGCAAAACTATTTCCTGTTTGTTCAAAGCATACACTGTGATACTGCCTAAGAGTATACTTGTGCTGGGGCAGATCCTTGAATTTTCTGCCAGGTGTCAGTCGGGTACCTATGTTTTAAATGGGAAGGGTTGGTGATGTTTGGCCCCCTTATTTTGCGGGGAGGGGTCCAAGGGGCTAAGTTTCTTGAATGCTCAAGACTTAGCCATATTTATCGCATATCTAAACAATTTTGCGCTTGATTTGTTTTCTGCTGCTCAAGGATTTAACCATTATTATTCTCACTTGATTTTCTATTTTCTGCTGCTGCTGGGGGTTGAATCTCCCCTTTACTACCTCCTGGATCCCCACCATTGTTGTGTATATGTACAGGGTAAAATATTATGTTCATTTTACAAGAGCTGTTTTTGCAATTCCTGTCTAACACCTGCTAATTGTATTGACATTGGCAATTCTTACATTAAAGATGTGCTGTCTGTTTTTAAGATAAAAAATAATGTTGCTTTATGTATTCAACTAGGTTCGGTGGCGAATTCAAGGAAAGCCGAGCCCGCCTGGGGCCTCCTCCTAAATTTATAAAAATTATTTTAAAAAATGGAGAAAAACTTAAAATTACAATCATACTTAAGCCCGAGAGTGCCATTTCCGGCCCTAAAGACTTGCCATAATCATAAATTTCCTTTCCTCTGCCCCAACCATGGTGGGGCCGAGGGAGGGGCAGAGGAGGACCCTCTATCTGTGATCTGCAAGTCCATCCCTAGGCCCGCTCTATTTTGAATACCTGGATCCGCCACTGAGGTAATTACATTTCAATTGAAAATTAGTAGAAAACTGTTTTTCTTGCCAATAACAAATGCGTGAATAATATGTAAATCTTTGCCTAGACCCTTAAATTGCCAGGTAATCAATTTAGTATTTCCGTAATTATAAATTAGCTGTAAAACTGAATTCTTTTAATCTTAATGATATCTTCTGTTTTAATTCACTACCGGCAGTATATCTGAGATATAGGAGAGCTATTTCGGATATTTGTATAGAGAATTTATTGCATCTCCCATCTATGTTTTCCCCTTAGAACTAGTAACAGTTGATGTACAAAATTGAAAATAAATCTTAATTTGATTGAATATTTTCTCTCGCAGTTGTTATTCATGTGTACCATGTATATTTTTCTGATAACCATCTATTAGTCTGTTTGGCAGAGGGTTCAACGTTGATAAACATGTGGTGCTTATGCAACACACAACAATGACAACAGATATTTAGAAATGACAAAGTTTTGGTATGAAAGTACTGTATATAGAGGATGTTGTTTAGGGGCCAGTATTTTACAGTATCATTAGCTTTTAAGCATCATCATTTGATAAAACTATGTATCCATTGTATCTTTCGAGTACTGTACTGTACAGGGTTATCCCAATGATTTAGTTCATATCAGCCAATAATACGGAATGATATGAAGATAAAATACTCAATGACGCTGTAAGTCAAAAATAATATACTGTAGTGAAATTTATTCATATAAATATTCCAAATTACATGAAATAATTAACATTTATATAGTACTGTACATTCAATCAAATTGATTAATAATCTTTGGAAGATTTTGTATGTCCATGGTAGCTTTATAGTAGCATGTTGATGATAAAATTATATAATATATATTTAGAAATATTTCACTAGTATCCAATTGCTGCTCCATCTCCCCTGGGATCAGAACCACCCCAGAGGACAACATCAGAATTCCTCTCCGCATCGTCAGCCCACCAGTTGCCAATAGTAATAACTTGCCCACGTCCAAAAATACTTCTCCCAGAACCTTTGACTGGCCCCTGCAAATCATGACCCATTGACTCTAACTCCTTGATAACCGATTCTGGTATTCCATCTTCAATGGCTACTGCTCCAACAGCGCCCTCATGTCCAGGTCCGATACAGAAGCGGGGTTGATCCAAAGCATGCTGAGGGTCCATATTGAATTCTGACATATTCAATAACACCTGTAGAATCGAAACACACTTAAATTTACCAGACTGATACAAAACATATACACAGCGTATACATGTGAAACAATATACCAAAGCCACAACAATTATAATCTCTGTCCATAACAAATATACCTATGAATTTCCCATATATAGGCATGATATGATATTATAATGCCCATATATGGGCAGCTTATACTCAAAACCTTGACAAAAAAGGGGACTACACTTACTTGTACATGGCCCTGTGGTTGCATGAATCCTCCCATCACTCCATAGCTCATTAAGAGGTCACCAGTCTTGGCATCAGTTACCATGGCAGGTATGATTGTATGGTAAGGTCGTTTGCCCGGAGCTAGTGCATTAGGATGGTCAGGATTCAGGGAGAAATTAGCACCACGATTCTAAAAAAGAAAAGTGTACAGTAGTAGAATTTTCCATAGTAAAAGGCCAAAAATGAAACTCTTTATGTCCTCTCAAGCGTGACCAAACCAAAATATTTAAAATCTAAGCTCGGCTTTGTTTTTTTAGCAGAAATTGTACTTCATTACTATGCAGAATCCCAAAATCATAATAACATAGGGATGAATAAGACTTCAGGAATTTTTTGTAGCCTTGTAGATTTGAACATCCAAGGAGCTGAATAAAGTAATAATAATTTGGCATTTATATAGCACTCTTTACCAGAGTCTCGCATCGCTTTTGCCCTATTCATAGGATACAGAATCTGCTCTACAGGGAGTATTCCCAGTTATGCGTGTAATCAGCACTACTCATTCCGAATCATTCACCTCCTACCAGATGAAGAGAGGCAAATGCAGATAAATTGTCTTGCCCAAGGACACAAGCAGTGTGACAAGCATCGGTCTCAAACCCCTGACCTTCTGATTGAAAGTCCAACACCTGGCACACTGTATTGGCCAACAAGTTTACATGGAGGCCCCAATGTATTTTTAATGCCCGAATCAAATCGACAAGCAGAGTGCAGATATCAATTCTTCAGCTGATGTAATGCGTGTCAGGCAAAAGTATACTAACCTGTAATGTGAATCCACAGCCAGCAGGGACTAAACCAGTTCCAAATCCCATGTAATTACTATTAATAAAAGAACAAGCATTTCCACTGCCATCAACTACGGAGAAGTATACTGTATCGCTGCTGGAAAATGGACCTCCATGTTGTATACTGTCATTTCGTCTAAAAAGAAAAAAGTGTGTCTACTGATAAGTATGATAAGAACTACATAATATATTAAATAATATATATACTACATACATTTTGATTCATCTTTCGGAAAAACAATCATCAGGCTTTTCACCCACTGTTGTGTGAAGCCCTCCTCCAGTATTTTCCATCTTTTTCTGTTCATTGCTGCTCTTGCCCAGTTTGGCGTGATGTCGTCCCTCCACTTATTTTTTGTCTCCTTTTCCTGGGTTCTTGGTTGCCAATTTGTTAATTTCTTGGTCTTTTATTCATGAAAGGTATCCTGCCCATCTCCTCTATATTGTCCGATTATTTTTCTTATCTTGGTGTGTCTCACTGTATCCCTTAGTGAGAGATGTAGCATTTTCCTTTTGAAAATGCACTATGCAAAATGTATGAACATGATTTTAGTCCTAAAGCTTACCTTTTAGAATGAATAATGTTGCATCTTTGTTTAGCATAGCCTTTGCTGAGGAGTTGACTGATAGGAACATTCACTATACCAGGATCGGCACAATACCACAGACTGTCAGCAAAAGCTAGACGCAGTGCCTCAATTAATGTGTGCAAATACTGTGCTGAGTTGTGACCCATTTCTAAAAAAAATTATATGAAAAGTGAATAAACAGATTAGACCGTTAGTAGAATTTAAACCTAAAAATTGATTCTAATAATTGATTCATTGCTTTGAATTGACAGTACTTGTAATTTTCTTTGTAATCCCTTATTAGGTACCTGCAAGTTTAAATTGTTCTAGTATGTTGAGTGCAATGAGGGCTGTTATTCCTTGACCATTTGGTGGAATCTCCCAAACCCGTTGACCTTTGTAGTCCACGTAGATTGGTTCAACTATTGTACTTATATGGTGTGAAAGATCCTCCAATGACAGCAATCCTCCATTCTCCCTCACTACACTCACAATGGCCTCTGCAATTCTTCCTTCATAAAATCCACTCTTTCCTTTATTGCTTATCTCCTGTATTTTAACAATAACAAATGAATTCAAGTGGTCAAGCAGTGAGGCAAGTCTGTAAACACATAGGCTATGTTAGGACACGATGAGTTGTGCTAGACCACTAATCAAATGGTGTGAACTTGTGCGCATTGCACTGAATGGCAACATTAATGCACAATCATTAGTGTATGATAATCTACTAACAAGAGATTATAGTATGATACGGAGTTATGACTGCCATGCATAAATGATTTTGAACCCAGGCCAGAATTTTGACCCAATCACAAGCAAGCCTAATTATGCTTAATACACTGTCCCTTGAACTTAATATATATAGTATTTACATGTAGCTAAAATCATTCCAATTGAATTCTGAAAGACAAATTTAATTTCATTCACCTTAAAAGTCTGTGCAAGAAATGGCATTTTCATGATTTGTCCGGCTTTTGGTGGTTTTCCGTCAATTAACAGATCTTTTCCGTGTTTGTTTCCTTCCCTTAGTAACTTTTCAGATTCCCTCTTCCAGTAGTACGCTGCTATTGGATGCAATGGGAATCCATTTTCGGCAAGCCGAGTTGCTGGTTTTAGAATCTCTGCCATTGATAACTGTAAAATGGTTAAAAATGATTGTATTTGATTAATAAATGGAGCAAAAGCTTAGTGGTCAAGGTTCCCCCTTCAAATTCCAGCATAAATATCTTTAAAAAGAGAGACAACCTTAGGTAAAGTGACTTGCCTATTGAACAAGCGAACAGCAAAGTGAGGGACAAGGATCACTGAAGAAATTCATCAGGGTTTCACTCATTCAATAAAATTCTTTCTTTATAAATATTAAAATGTTTAGTTCACTTACATTTCGCTCCCACACTGGAGGGAAAACTACACAGCATACATACAATCAATGTAGTTATTCAATATTTAGTTCACACATAACTTCATTAGAATTAATGTTGGTATGTTTACTTACCTTTCCACTGCCAAATGACTCGATAGTGTCACACCATCCAGCCGCTGCTCCTGGTACGGTAACGTTGTGTGCGTGCATTGAGGGTAATGGATGACTTTCATCAAAACCTTGTTCTTTTAGCAAATCTAGAGTCAATCTTGAAGCTGCTCTGCCACTATATTAAAAACAAGACAAAAACAAAATTCTTTTTTTTTTTCTATGATGATAAGAAATCAATGGTAAATGATGTGAAGATTACAAATTATCACAATGATCAAGATAAATATTAATGGTACCACAAAAATAAATAAAATTAATCATGTTAAAACATCCAAAAAAGTTAGTGGAGGAAGTAGTTTGATATAAATTATTATGCTTGCCTTTAAATTCTGTGGTCCTGGGTTCAACCTGGATTTTTTTCTTAGGATTATTAAACTTTACTCTGTAAGCCTCACAATAAAGTGCATTGTTACAC